CCCCGATCTCGTCCAGGATGAAGGGGATGATGTGTGGTTTCACGGCCAGGAACAGGACATCACTGTGCCTCACAGTCTCCTTGTTGCTGCGGGTCAGGTTCACACCCATCTTCTGCAGGACGAGACAGCCAAGCGCCTGGTGCTGAAGCAGCCTAGCTGAACCCGGGGCCACCCTGCAGCGGCTAAACCCTGGCCAAGCTCACTCTGCCAACGCTGCCCACAATTTCTTGCCCTGTCTCCTCACTGGACACAAAGTTTTTCGCTGCTACTACTGAATAAGTCAGCACAGGTGTTAAGCCCTGGAAAACTTCTCCGTGGAAACCAGAAAAAGGCTATCCCTTCAGTCCCCGCCCCCAATCTTCTAACACCCAAGACACACATGGTGAAACGTGGCATGTGAGAGGAAAGTGAGATGTCAGCACCCAATGGGTGCATCGAAGACAGATCAGGTCCCATCCAGCTCCAGCTGCTAGTTCAGTTGATTATACCGAGTCCATATGGTCAAGAGGTGGGCCCAAACTGGGCAACCAGGTCTCCCAGTGCCAGGAACATCAGGGACTATGTCCCTGACCTCATTTACCACCCTCTTAGCCACACAGCTCAGGGTCTGGGTGAACCAGAAAAAAAGGTTGCTGCATTCATGCCCCAGCATAACAAAGTTACTATTCTAAGAAACAGCCTCAGGGCACTACATATGTTAAAACCCCACAACCAGTGGTCAAAGAAGAATGACTCATTAGTTGGGTGCTCCTGTGCCTGTACTTTCCATATGTTGTTGCTATTGGTGGATCCTCTCCAGTACCACTCCCCTCTTGTCCCATAGTGGGGTGCACCCCCCCATACGGAGGCACTCCCTGAGGGTGGGAGGATGGTAAGGTTGTTGGTGGGAGGTCACTGCCAGCCATAGGCCAGCACGATTCAGTTCTTTTCAGGTCTTCCCTGGCCTGGCCCGCCACCCTCTTCCCCACCACCTCTTGGCACCGCCTACCCTGAGCGCAGACACGGTGGGCAGGTCCATTTCTGGGGAGCTGGCCATTATCTTATGCGCCGACAGGATGCCTAGAATTCGAGCCAGATGAGGAATGTGACCCCCAACCTCAGCCCCATCCCATTCCCATTGTTTTCCCTGAGGAAGCCAAATTAGAACCACAGTCGTTCCAGTGCCAGATTTGGTTACTCCAGGTCTCGTGCGCACCTGCTCTTAACAAGAGCCTCCTCAACCCCTCGGGGCTCAAACTGCCCCCACCCCATTTATTCACTGATGCATGCTGATGAGGAGGAGACCTTTTCGGATCCGGATCAGGGCCCGCCGCACCCCCCCCCCCCCCGCCCCGCTCACTCCTGCCGCCCTGGGCTCACCTGCAGCCGTGAAGCCCCGCGCCAGCGCACAGGCCAGCTGGCCGGCGCCGATGAAGCCCACGCTCATGGTGCCAGGTCCGCGCCTCCGGGCAGCCGCAGGAACCCGCTCCGCGTCAGCAAGTGCCGGGCCCACCCGCGGCGCGGAGAGAAACGCCTGATCTTGGGGGTCCCGGGCAGTTTCTGACCGATGCTGGGCTCAGCCTGGCGCGATCCCTCCCTTCCACGCTCACACCGGGATGCTCTCGCCGCGTCGGCGACGGCGCCTCCGGCCACGTGGCCCCGCCACGCCCTGGAAACCAATCCTCAGTCAGCGGCTCGGAGCGGACCAATCCGCGATCGATTCTGCGCCGAAGGCCCGCCTTCTCCCGCTCGACCAGTGGGAGGAACCTTGGATAAGACCCAAAGCCGCTGGCGCCGCGGGCTGACGTGAGCCCCGAGGCCGGAAGTTGCTGTCAACCCCTGCCGGGGCTCCGGGTTCTCACTCAGCTGAAGTCTGGGTGAGCCGTCAGGCAGATCTAGAGGCGAGAAGAATGGTCTGGGTTGGCGGTTGAGGGGGATGGACGAGACCCCGCGGGCGGAAGCATGGAGCCCCAGGGGCTGTGAGACAAGGATCCCAGCTCACCGTTTCTGGCCTTGTACTTCCAGGTCCATGGTTGCCCTGGGTCTGTGTCTCTTCTAGGTCTCTGGCTTTCTCACGTCTGAGGCTAGCCCGGGTCCATGGCTTCTGGATGTGTGCATGTTGGGCTGTTAGGGAGGACTCTGTTGATGACCCTAGTGCTGGCACAACCCCCAAACCAGCGCGGGTCACTTAAGACAGGGAGCAAAGTTGCTCTTGCTCCCCTAAAAGTTTGGAGACTTGAGTGCTGGCCAGAAACTGGTGAATTTTGGTGAGTTTTAGTGAGAGCTGTTGTTTTCCAGAGCTAAAGTTTTGATGTTTTGTTTGACTTGTAGCCATTGCTAGAATGACCTTGCAGACCTCGAAGGTCGATTTTCTTGGTGTTGTGGTTCCCAGAGCATCCAAGGCAGGTGCCTGTGAGGGGATGTTGAGAAATGTTGAGAGGGGAGGCCTTCTGTCACCACCACCACTCCTCACCTGTTTCCCCATCCCCTGGTGACACACCAATCTGCTACTTCCATGGTGCCAAGGACGCAATGTCTCCATGTCCCCCAAGTCTCCCTGGGTGCCCACGCCCTAGCCTGTCAATGTATTGAACCAGCAGGCACAGCCACGAGGCTGCCAGGACTTGCCTGACCTGGCTCCCCTCTGGCTCCCCAGCATTCCAGGGTGCAGCTGCTGTGTCCTGCATCCTGGCCCACCGCTGTACCCTTGCCATCCACCTCAGGCAAAGTGACTGAAGCTTCATTTCTGTCTTCACTTGCCTGGGTTCTTCCATTGCAGGCCTCAGGCCTTCCCTCCCTGCTTATCTCTAACTGCAGACACATCTCTTGTGAGAACTGATGCCACCCGGGAGACCAATCAGGACCTTGAGAGGGCAGGCAGGCCCACTGGCCACCAGCCCTCTGACCTGGGAACCTCTTGGGGGGGAGTCTTACCTTGCATACATTTTTGCATTTATTTTTGTCATTATACAAAGAGTCCATGCTGATAGAAAGACTTGGGATTATGGCCAATAAAAAACACACATTGCCTTTAATCCCACCAATGAAAATGGAAATCTGCAGGGCCAAAGCAATGGCTCAGCTGGCTAATCCTCCACCTCTAAGCACAGGTGCCAGTTTATGTCCCACCTGCTCCACTTCTGCTCCACATCCTTGCTTGTGACCTGGAAAAGCAGTAGAGAGAGGATGGCCCAAGTGCTTTGGGACCCTGCATCTGCACGGGCAAGCTAGAAGAAGCTCCTGGCTCCTGGCTTCGGATCGGCTCAGCTCTTGCCATTGCAGCCTTTTGGGGAGTGAGCCTGAGAATAGAAGATCTTTGTCTCTCTTTGTAAATTTGCCTTTCCAATGAAAATAAATCTTCGAAATGGAAACCTGTGACCCTTTAGAGTATAACTCAGCATTTTTTTCTGTGTAGTAAGACACATCTTAAGCCTGATTTCTATTTGTTAACATATTTTAACAATATTTATTTTCATCTACTTGAAAGGTAGAGAGTCCAACTCAAAGGTACATGGAGGGAACTTGCCCTATGTGGCAGCTCTCCAATGAGAGATTCTAACCCTACGACTGTGTCCTGAGCAAAGCCCCCTGCCCAGGGCAAGGGGTGGGAAGGAGTGTTGACAGTCGACACTTTTGCACTGCCTCAGCCTCAGTTTATCCACCTGAAGAACAGGAATGACTCTGACATGAAGGGTAGTTACAAGTTCACAGTGAATGCTTAGTGAAGGGATCTTGCTTACCGCACCGCTATTCCACACACCCATTCCCATCACCACCAGTGCAGCGTTAAGTGCTTCCCAAGGAGCAGGTAATACTATGTTTGGAATGAGATTTGTATGAGAAAATAATCCTAAATGAAAATTTCAAACGCAGTCATTCCTATCTTTGATGCACCCGAGAAACTAAGGGACTTTAAGCCTCTGCCTGCAGGGCAAGCATCCCATACGGGCGCCTGTTGGGTCCTGGCTGCGCCACTTCCTATCTAGCTCCTTGCCTGGGAAAGCAGCAGAGGATGGTCCAAGACCTTGGATCCCTTCACCTGAGAGAGAAACCCACAAGAAATTCCAGGCTTCAGATGGGCTGAGCTCCAGCTGAGGCAGCTGTTTGGGGAGTGAACAAGCAGAGAGGAGCTCTCTTTCTCTGTCTGGGTTTCTCCTCTCTTAAAAAAAAAAAAAAATCTTTTAAAAAGTATTAGAAGTTGCATTAAAAAAAAAGAATAATCCCAGAAATACAGAGTGACACGTCATTTTGTTTTATTTCTTCAGCTTTTCTACGTGCATGTGTTTCGGCTACATTAAAGAAACACTGTGTAAAGACAAGTGGTTTCTGGCACTGTGGTCCCTGCAGTAATTATGGGATCCCCTACATGGGACTGGCAGCAGGGAGTCTGCAGGGATGGCTTGGGTCCCTGCCCCACAGCATCTTCCAGCTGGAGCCCACTCCTCCTTTGCGAGAGAAAGTGGGGACCCTAAGTCTTCTACATGTGCTGGGGGCGGGGTTCCCAGCTTGCAGCTCCATGAGGCTCCAGAGCCAGGGAGGTACTGATTCCGCATCCATCTCCCTCAGCTGGCAGTCTGCTTCCTCTGTCCTAGTGTCCTCTCACAGAAGGGGGGACTAGAGTGAGTTCAAAAAGTCCAGAAGTACTTGCAAGGGGATGAAGTCGTTTTCTCAGACATCCTCCTTATCTAGGAGAAGCAGGGATTTTCATTCTTTTGTTCTTAATTCATCATAGGATGGGGGCACCGGTTTTCTTTCCTCGGTTCTCATTGCAGCATTTTTGTTGTTGTTATTGTTGTTCTGTGCTCAATGAAGAATTAATTAGCCAGAGAATAGAACTCCCCCTGCCCCCATCCCCCAAAATCTGTCCATTGCTCAGCTCGCTGGGATTCCCTAACATAACTGGTATTCTTCGCTCATGTAAGTGCTTAGGATGAAGGATGGCAAAAGCTCTATGGGGCTACATCTGCATGGGGTCACTTGCTAAATGTGCAATTAAAATCTATGTATTAACACTTGCATCTATGCCTGTGTCTAGTCAGAGGCCTCAGGAGCAACACGGGCACTACGGCTCCAACCTCCTGGGCACAGGTGCCCCATCCGAGGCACAGCTACACCTCTGTACCCTCATGTTGGGCAGGCTGACCACCCGGGGCCTGGTCCTGCCTCCCTCCTTCACGTTGACAATTAAGGGCAACGAGGTCGTCTCCGAAGCAATGCACTGTCGTGGGCCCAGGTGCGGCCACTGGAGGCTCAGGCGCTCCGGGGGCTGCAGGCAGCTGCCCACACACTCGTAGGCCAAGAAGCCAGGGGGCTCCAGGACCCAGTTCTCAGCCCACTTCATCCCCTGCAGGTCAATGTAGGTCTCCTGGCGACAGCAGCGGGTGCCCTCGGTTGCTGGCATCTCAGGGTCACAGTTGTCTTGAGCTCTGTGCGGAGACAACCAGAGTTAGGGTTAGAGGTCACCTGGGAAGGCTGAGGTGAGGGGCGCGGGAGGAAGCTTAGAGGCGCATCTGAGAAGGAGGTTTGTGATCCATGCCTCATCAAGTTTAAGAAACTGAATATTGGGCCCAACGTGGTGGCCCAGCGGCTAAAATCCTTGCCTTGCATGCTCTGAGATCCCATATGGGCACCGGTTCTAATCCTGGCAGCCCTGCTTCCCATCCAGCTCCCTCCTTGTGGTTTGGGAAAGCAGTCGAGGACGGCCCAAAGCCTTGGGACCCTGCACCCACTTGGACTTCAGATCAGTACAGTTCTGGCCACTTGGGGAGTGAATCATTGGACGAAAGATCTTCCTCTCTGTCTCTCCTCCTCTCTGTATATCTGACTTTGCAATAAAAATAAATATATTTTTTAAAAAGCTGGATATTCACAATAGAGAATGAATGCTCAAGTGTCTACTTCTCAGCCGCTATGTATTAGGATGTCCCCAGGAGCCAGGTGCCTCCCAGGTATCACCTCAGGGGACAACTGTCTTTCGTCCTCAGATGAACCTTGAAGCAGGGTGCAACTTTACGTGTCTTGCATCAGAGGCCTGAAGCCCCCACAGCATTTAGTGAGGCACCAGAAGGATGCAGCCAGTAGGAGGCAGAGCTGGATGGAAGCCAGGCACTCCCGCTCCAGGAAGCCCGTTATTAACCTCTTCTGTGGTGATACCCATGAGGGGTTTGATTCCAGGACACCCCTCACACATACACCCGGCATAGCCTAGATGTTAAAACCTACCCGTGCTCACGTTCCTTATCTGCTTAAAACTTGTACAACTCTCCCGGATCCCTTACGTCTTCCCTGGGGTCACTCATAATAATACCATGCAAATGCTGTAGCTCTAGGCCCTACGCTGTGCTGTTTAGGGAGTAAGGCTCAAGGGCAAAGTATCCACGTGTTTGAGACAGGGGTACTTTCATTCTGACCTCTGGCTGAACCCATAGGAACAGGGTTTGGTTGTACTACACAACCACTGCCCTATACAGGCACCCAGTCCCCAGAACAAGGACGTCACCAAAGTGGGAGGAACAGGATTCCGCTAATATTTTCTGCTGATATTTTTCAAAGACTTATCGTGAAGATAAACAACAAACGATTAATGTATGTGACTCAATGAAAACGTAAAAGTCCACTGGAAATTGTTGGATGTTTTTCATGAAATGTTCAAATAACAAAATTTCTACCATTGGAAATCGTGCCCTGATACCTTGCTGCTCAGCAGCAGCAGCCAGTCCAGGGAACAGAAACCCTGGACTAACCAGCACCCTGCATCCGCAGCCCTCACATCCCAGTGCCTACCCATAGTGCTTGAGGTCCAGGGTGTGCAGCTCCAGCTGCGGCTCGCTCGACATGCCACCAGCCTCCCCCTGCCAGGCAAAGCGCACCAGCCTGTGCGCGCTGGACGCACCCGCGCCCAGGTGCTCCCTCTGCACAGACACCTGCAGCAGCAGCGGCTGCCGGGGCTCCCTCAGCTGCTGCCAGAAGTTCACGGCCTCCGTCACGTCGAAAGCCGTCCAGCCGCTCTGGTGGATGGACACTAGCCTGAAAGAGAGAGAGCGCAGCCTCAGGGCGGGGTGGGGCCTGGGCTACCCCTCCCGCCCCGCCCCACAAGCATGCACACACAGAGCCACATTCCCCTGCCCGCACCCCGCCTACACCCCAGCCCCTCCTTGCCCCCACCTGGAGTCGATGAGGGAGGTGTGGTTGGAGCCGTCGTCACGGATGCGCAGCCACTCCACGGTGACCCGGGCCTGGGCGCTGTGCGGGGGCAGGCGCTCGTGCCTGCGCAGGGCGGCCTTGGGGACTGGCTCCTGGAAGAGCCGCAGCACAGCTTGCACCAGCTCGCTGTTAGGCGGCAGCCGCTGCTCCATGCCAAACACCAGCAGGTGTGTGTGTGCCTCGGTGATCAGGAGCCTGCCGGCCACCTCTGAGGACAGGAGAAAGGTCAGCAGGGCGCTCGGAGTGGGGGGTCACAACCAGGTGGCTGACCATCTCACACAGCAGGAGGGCTGACAAAGTCCCAGTGGGAGGCTGACAAGGTCTTCTCAGGAAGAGCTGGAGAATCCCCTGTGGGATGCTGGCCCTGGGAGGCCCTTGGAGGAGATTCCATGCCCAGGGAAACAGCTGCAGCAGGCCTGGGACCACAGCCCAACAGTACGTCACATGGTCTTCAACTTGAGTGTTTCCTGTGCCCACCCAGTCACTCCCATGTGCACATTTCAGGGAAGCAGATGTTCCAGGTGTGCAGGGCGATGCTGGCCTTCTGGAAACTGGGCCCCAGCAGGGTCTGCCTGTCCCCCAGTGCTCTCAGGGGGGCTGTTCCCTGCAACAACCCACCCCAGAGCATTGCTTTTCCTCCTGTGCCCTGGTCCTGGCCACTATCCAAAGCCCCACAGGGCCTCCCCAGAGCCACACAGCAGGGATGCTCTGGTCCCCACCCTCCCCGTCCTATCCCTACAGGGCCAGGGTGCAGCTAGGCAGGGGGCCTCACCTCGGAAGTTCTGGCTGAACCTCTTGCCGCGGGAACGCTCCCTGTGGCCGTGCTGCAGCAGGGCCACATATTGGGCCCTCACATGGGCAGGCACGGCCAGGCCCTCCAGGTCGGCTCTATCCAGGACAGGCGCCTGGTGGAGGTGCAGCTGTTGCAGCAAGCTGGCCAGGATCTGCTCCCCGCTCAGCGCCGCCCCTGGCGGGGCCAGGGATAGCAGCCACAGTGTCCAGCAGAGCCACAGGGGCCGCATGATGCTGTGTCCAGGAAGCTCCTGGAGGGTCTGGGGTGTGGCTGGTGTGCTGAGAGCCTAGGCTGGGCCAGCTTTATAGCTGGGCTTGGGCTGGCCTAGGGTGGTGGGAGGGAGAGAGGGGGGAGGTGGGGTGGGAGAGAGGTCACACCCCTCGGACCTCCTGGGAGCTCAGCAGCCAGACAGGTCCCTGAGCCTGGAAGAGGAGGCTGTCTAAAAAGGCTCAAGGATCTGTGGAAGCCACTGGGCACTGGAGCCCGGGCCTCCGCAATGTTGTTAGTGCTGGTTCCACTTCCCTGGCTCTATCCTAATGACTGTGGTGTGGAAGCAAGGCCCCTTAGCCAGCTATTTCAGGCGCTTTCTGGAGGAGAGTCTGCATGTAGGTTCATCATGAAGGAAGCAGTGAAAGTGGTTGGCTCCCCTTTCAACTCTGGCCACTGTCACAGGAGCCCCTGGTGCCGTCCCATGCCACCCTTTAGCCTGTGCACACTCCTGTCTGTTCGCTGTACTGCACCACCTAAGCCCCTGAGTAGTAGGTCACAGTCCTTGAGCTCCCCCAGCCAGGACAGGGACCAAGCAGCTGCAATCTGCAAACCCCATGAGAAGCAATGAGGCAGGTTTCTTGGCAATCACTCACCCTCAGAGCCAGGGTGCCCCTTTCCAGACACCACTGGGTTCTGGTCAGGGCACTGTCATGTCCAGGTGATTTCCAGACACAGCACAAGGGATAGTGATCAAGAAAGCAGAGGTCAAGGTTGTCCACAGGTGTGCCCTGTCCAAAGACACAGGAAGTGGGAACCCCTTGGGGTGGGAGCTCCCCAGTGCCTGCTCAGATCCTCATTCTGGACTGGCTGGATTTGTCAGAATGAATCAGTAAACAGCAGGTGTTCAGCCCAGGACCGGGTCCCTGGTGAACAGCCTGCTTGCTAGGAGTCTGCCTGAAGTCTGTGCTCCCAGGGTTGGGACTTTCCTCAAAGTATCAGAAACAGGAGCAGCGCTTCCTCTGTGTCAGGCCCTGTTCCCAGTGCTGAGCAGGTACTTGCCCAGTACCTGAGGAGCAGGTGTTGGCTTCAGGTACAGCCCTGCAGGCAAGATGGAGTGGACTCCTGGCTATGGGGGGTCAGTGCAGGAAGGGGGCTGTTTCCAGGGGCCCCTGCTGGAGTTGAGGACATGTAAAAGGAAGCCTGTGCTATCTCTGGATGGTCTTATGCTGTATTCTGCCACATGATGGTGAGTCAATGGTGGCAGCACACAGGGGGTAGTCTCAGTGAGGCAGGAAGGAAGGTATGATGGGGCTGTGCCTTGTGGGCGTGCCTCGACACCGAGAGGTCACTCATATCACCCTCTGCTTCTGTCCTGCTCATGCGTGGATGGCAGTGCTCACTTCAGCAGCACATATACTTAAAATTGGAACCATACAGGTGGCAGGCAGGGCAAAATTGTGACTGCATGAGGGACACTGTGTGCATATTACTACTCACATATTCACATGCAGGTGCTCACAGAGACCCAGGCATGGAGGGTCCCTAGTCAGGGGGTGCTTAGGATGGGGCGTGGTGAATAAGAATAGCACTAACCATGAACTTTGTGGTGACTAGTGCTACAGACCATGTTTGTGCATATTATTAACTCCACCCTCACAGGCACGGGGGATGTTGTCAGCATTATTTCCTTTTTAAAAATGTTTAAATTTTGGCCTCAGCATGGTAGTCCTTGCTTTGCACACGCTGGGTTCCCATATGGGCACTGGTTCTAATCCCTGCTTTCCATCCAACTCTTTGCTTGTGGCCTGTGAACGCAGTTGAGGACAGCCCAAAGCCTTGGGACCCTGTACCCACGTGGGAGACCTAGAAAGGGCTCCTGTCTCCTGGCTTTGGATTGGCTCAGCTCTGGCCTTTGCGGCCGCTTAGGGAGTAAACCAGTGGACATAAGATCTTCCTCTCTGTATATCTGACTTTCCAATTAATTTTTAAAAAATAAAAATGCTTAAATTCTGGTTTACTTTATTTGAGAGACAGAGATCTCTTAACCACTGGCCTACTCCCCAGGTGCCCACAACAGCCAGAGTTGGGCCTGGCTGAAGCCAGGAACATGAAACTCCATCAGGTCTCCCACCTTGGGAACAGGGACCCAAGCAAGTTCTTGGGCCACCATCTCTTGGTGCAATAGCAGATCAGAAGCAGAATAGCTGGGACTTCAACAAATGCTTTGATAGGGACCCGAGCATCCCAAGTGGCAGCTCAACCTGCTGTGCCATGATGCCTACCCCCCAATATTTCCATTATTTTTAGGTGAAGACATGGAGACTCTAAACTTTTCCAAAGTCATACAGCTAGTCTACACAGAAGGGAAGGGCACAGGAGTAGGATCTCAAGCACTAATGAGAGGTAGGAGGCTCCAAGCTCCTGGCAGCCCACCGTGGGGGAAGAGAAGCGAAGTGGTTATAGGCTCATGACCTCAGCTGCTTCTCAGCTTCCCTCTCCTTTCCAAGGAAACTGTGTCATTCACATCCCATCCTGGAGCTCCCATCTCCAAGTCCGAATCTCCCCTAACACCGGAGGTTGCATCCGATCCCAAGTCGCACTCCTGTCCTGTCTGTGACAAGTGTAGCTAGCCTACTTCCATAGTAGCTGTGGTCTTTCTTTACAAGTGATTATCAGAGAAAGGACTTACTTGATGCAAACATTTGGGTCTTAAGTCAGGCCAAAAGGTGCAGAAATGTCACATTTACAGGCAACCCCAGGCCTAGTGGCCCCGGGGCCTCGGTAGCTGTTTGGAGGCTGGTGTTCTGTAGATATTCAGTAGTCCACCACCCTGCTGCTGGGTGACAGGAGCCTGGTGGCTTATCACTGGATCACCGGTAATTGTGGTGCCACAGATCTAACACCCAGTGGGCTCTCGCATGCCACAGCCCCCTCCCCAAGGCCCGGTACCTAGATGCTCACAATGATGTGAGCCATTCAGAAGTGTCCTTTCTCTGACTGACTGGCAGATGCCCACAAACAAGCTATTGCCCACCTAAAAGACTCTGATCTGAGCTTCACAGGGAGTCCCTGGCTGGTCAGGAACCCTGCTAACCTTGGTTAACTAACCAACTAAAGTGCAATCTCTTAGCACAGAGCCAAGCCCAGGTCCAAGCCCTCTCAGGGCTCCATGGTTACTGGAACCACCGGTCAATGGCCAGACTCTGCTGGCCAGACACTGCTTCTTCAGTGTCCTTGGAACCTCTTGGAGCCTGGACGCTTGGTTCATCACTGGGGAACAGATCTCTTCCCAGTCTTGGGGAGCTCTTTCGGGAGGGGAGGGGTATCTGAGAGCAGTTAGTACCACCAGAGGGCTGTCCGGCAGGTACCCTGCCCTCCTTCTTGCCCTTGTACCTTTGTGGCAGCAGAACACTCCAGAACATCCGCTTGCCCTCCAGTTTTAGGGCAGAATAAAAATAAAGCTGAGAAAGATTCTCGCTTTCCCAAGCGTGTGTTTGCACAGTTGGTGACTGATAACCATGCCAAGCCAGGTCTTCCACCTTTAGCCCGTCTTGCTCCTGACCCCATGAAGCCAGCCAGGCTTGGCCACTGGCCTCCAGCAGCTGGGGACTCCGCCAACCCAGGGGTGAGTCTGGGTGGGGGCAAGAGAAGTGTGAGAAGCAGACAGACAGGGCAAATCCCCCAGACCTCGGAGCTTTCCCAAGACACCAGCCCTGAGGTCGTGAATGTGGATTCCTAGCAGCCTGAAGAGCTTTGCTGGGGACATAAAGTAATTGGGCAATTAGCTAACAGCCAGAGGAGCAGCCCTATGTGGATTGGGAGGCTTTTGACAATGGACAGATTAGTGGAGGGCAGCCTTCCTTTGTCGTGCAGAGGAAGGCGCCTGGGGTCAGGTCAGGCCTGAAAAGTGGTGCATTTGTAAACTGGCAGCTTCGGGAGCGGAGATGTTTGCAGAACAGGGACCACCACTTATAAAACTGTCTAGACCAGACTGTCCCCTCCCAGACACGGCCGGGGGGAAGTCACCCAGACTGTTGACCCACCTGTAGGGCCAAGGGGTTTCAAATTTGATGCCTATTTTTTTTTTACTGTGCTGTGAATGCCCCGAGGGGTCACTGTAGGATGCCGTGTGTGTGCAAACGTGAAGGCTTTGCACGGCATTTGTTTTGCTTGCTTAGGATAGAACTGCACCTCCTCCAACCCAGATGGCCTTTGGATAACCCAGACATCTCAGCTTGTCCTGTGAGCCGGGCAGTGGCTCTGCCTGACTTAGTATTACCCAGACTGTGCTCAGGGCAAGCTGGCATCCTGAGCTTTCCACAGCCCTGAGGTTCTGGCACCCCCTGCCTGCTGGCAGTTCTGGGTCTGTTCCCTGACGGAACCTAGGAGCATCCTTGGGGGTTCCTGGACCCAGCCCAGGCCTGTTGGGTGGACGTGGCAGGGGGCAGGGTCTGGAATCAGACTGCTGGTGATTCTGGGCATTTGAGGTTTGAGAAGCAAGGATGCAGTGTGGGGGTGAGGGGCAGCATCACTTAGGAGCTGAGAGTTAAAGAGGCTGCTAGAAGAACATCAGGTAAAATGGAAATCCTGGGCCCGGCAGCATGGCCTAGCAGCTAAAGTCCTCGCCTTGAACATGCTGGGATCCCATATGGGTGCCAGTTCTAATCCCTGGCAGCTCCATTTCCCATCCAGCTCCCTGCTTGTGGCCTGGGAAAGCAGTTGAGGATGACCCAAAGTCTTGGGACCCTGCACCCATGTGGGAGACCTAGAGAAGGTTCCTGGTTTCCAGCTTCGGATCGGCGCAGCACGGCCTTTGCACTTGGGGAGTGAATCATCGGACGGAAGATCTTCCTCTCTATCTGTCCTCCTCTCTGTATATCTGACTTTGTAAAAAAAAAATAAATAAATCTTTAAAAAAAGTGGAAATCCTGTCACTTGCACAGGTGGACCCCTATTCTTTCTGGGTGTTAGTTTCTTAATTGCCTATGATGAGAGGGAAGAAAGCAACCGGAAAAGAAT